ACTACCATAGTCCTGTACACACACACACTACCATAGTCCTGTACACATGCACATACATTCCCACAGTCCTGTACACACAGACTACCATAGTACTGTACACACAATACACTACCACAGTCCTATACACATATACTACTGTTAGTCCTACACACACACACACACACACACACACACACACACACACACACACAGTGTCCTGTACAGACACACCAGCACTAAAGGCTTTTGGTCACAATAAGCAAGATTCAGACCCGTCAGAAACCAAATCCTAGCATCAAGGGCTTTGTTCCTTGGGAAGATACGAAGAAAGGTGGTCAGCTCTGGTTGTGATGGAGGCTGAAGGAAGGGTGCTACGATCAGACCTCTGGCCATTTCCTCCCTCCGTGTCTTGTGAGAATCACCCACTGGCAGCTTCCGTGTGCTAGAGGCTGAGAGCAGCCTGAGTGCTGTTCGTCCTGCTGGGGTGGAAGCCTGCAGGTCCCAGCCCTTCCTTTGACTAGTTCCCCAGGACCCTAACCGTTTTGTTGGTTCAAGGATACCCTGCCTAGGCTGTGGTTACTAGCCTTCCTGGCATCCAGCTATGGTGTGAGCAGTTCACTCTGCCTCCTGGAAGGACCACCTCTGGATGACATTGGATATCATATTTAACCTTTCTGAGCCCCAGTTTCTGTGTGTGTGAACAGAAGGACACCAATCCCAGGGATGCGGTAAGAAAGCCAACATGTCACCCAACACGGTACTGGACACGCGGTAGACGCCTGACTTCAGACATGATGGGCTCTCACCATTGCTGTGGGGTCTCCCGTGCTGACCTCCAAGGAGTCAGCCACCCCAGCCACCCCAGCTTTCTCCAGCTTCCCAGGAGGCTGCCGGCTCACCCTCCCGGTTGGCTCTGCTTAAGGAACTGCTTAACTGGGAACCCACCTTCTGGGCATAGGAGAGCTGGTTGTAGGTGGCCATGGTTGCGGCTTCGTTGGCACAGGCCTCTTTGGCTTTGTCAAAGGTCAGTTTGTACTGGCCCAGTGGGGAGCGCAGATGGAATACCCCAACAGTCGTGTCTAGAACAGGAGGGAGATTACGCAGTCAGTCCACTTGGCCAGCAGGGATTCAGGCCAAAGACTTAGAAGGAATTCAAGGTAGATGCCAACTGTAGCTCTGGGAAGTCATTTCTTCCAACTGTAGCTCAGGGTACCCTGGGAAGCCACTTCCCCTTCAAGTTATGTTGAGGTAAGTCAGCTGAAATATTTATTCTTTTTAATCATATAAACAGGGCTGGAGAGATGCACTGGCCACTTTTTCAGAGCAGTGCCCACACAGCTGTGGTGGCATTCCATCTGTATGTTAATAAATAAAGCTTGTCTGCAGATCTGAGAGTAAAACAGCCCCACTGGTCAGCCTTACAGGCCAGGCAGTGGTGACACACACCTTAAACCCCAGTAATCACACTAGTTGCTATAGAAACTGGGGAGTGCATGCTTTTAATCCCAGTGGGGCACACCTTTAATTCCAGCCCTAGAGAGAATTATAAAACGGGAGGAGACAGCTCTCAGACACAGTCTCTCGGATTCCTGGAGGCAGGATTGCCATTTCGGACTGAGGCAGAGGTAAGAGTCAGTGGCTGGTGGTGTTCCTTCTGACTTTTAGAGGTTGAAGCCCAATTTCTCTGAGTTTTTATGAATTGTGCTTCACACAGCAGCTCACAACTGTTTGTAACTCCAGACCCAGGAGATCCAACGCCCTCTTCTGGCTTCTGCAGGCACTGCACACACACTGAACAGTGGCGATCACCTGGGCCATCTCCCCTCACCCAGAACTGCCCTCTCACTGCCCAGTTTTCTCTAGCACACGGCCTCCCCTGCCTTCTCTAGGTTTGACCAGTGCCGGCATATGCCGGGTCTCCACTGTAGTCCCAAGCTCTGGAAAATGTCTCTCAGCTCACCTAGACGGACCTCTTCTCTGTCTGAAAAAACTTGTTTTTCTTTTTATGGTTGTTATTATTGTTGTTGATTTTTGTTTTTGTTTTTTTGAGACAGGTCTCATTATGTAGTCCTGCCTGACCTGGAAGTTTATACAAAGACCAGGCTAACCGCGAACTCACAGAAATCTATCTACCTCTGCCCCCTGAATGCTGGGACTTTTTAAAGGCATGTATTATCATGCCCACCCTCTCTGTTTTAAAAATTGTTTTATATATATACATATATGTATATATATGTATGTATATATATGCACACATATACACATATATATGTATATATATACACATACACACATATAGCATAAAATTTGCTTTTTTTTGACCTTTTTTTTTTGGTTTTTCGAAACAGGGTTTCTCTGTGGCTTTGGAACCCGTCCTGGAATTAGCTCTTGTAGACCAGGCTGGTCTTGAACTCACAGAGATCTGCCTGCCTCTGCCTCCCCAGTGATGGAACTAAAGGTGTGCGCCACCACTGCCCGGCTTGAGAATTTTAAGTGTACAACTTTTACCTGTACGCTGTTGGGAAAACATTACTCTTATCCATTCACAGTACATTTCTATAATTCCAGCAAAGTCTCTGTTAACAGCCGCTCCCCACTGTCCCCCCTCTTCCTGGGGGAGCCGGTCTTCTATTCTTCCCCCGATGAATCTACCTGGCTTAGGTTTCTCAGACACCTGACTCATAGGATGGCTGTCTCTTTGTGTCTGGATGGTGTCACTCGATGTAATGCACCAAGGCTAGTTAGCCCATGGTAGCACCTATCAGAATTTGTCATGTGCTATGGTGGGTGTTGCCCATTGCACGGCTCTGCTCCATTTGTTATCCACCCTCAGAAACCCTTGGTGCCTCTACCTTCTAGCTGCTCCGCACGCTGCTGCTGCTGCAGATATGGGCGTGCAAATAGCTAGGATTTCTGAGCCCCTGCTTTCATCTTCATTCTTTCTATTCTTGCTTTTATTACAGCTACAGGGATATAGGGTAAGATTTTGCCTTCCGTTTTCCTATGTTTTCCCCTTATCTTACATTCATTTAAGTTTCCCCATTGTCCTGGTTCTCTTCTTGGAGAAACAGTCTATGTCTTCTGTGTCCCTGAATGTAGAGAACTCCTTTGTCTTACTCTAGGAGGGATTTGAGGCATACCTCAGGGTTTGCTGTAGACAAGTGTTAAATCCATAGTTGCTATTGAGATATGGAAGCAAAACCCCAAACAACAAAAACTCTCTAAGTTGACTTTGCTTGTAAAGGAGAGCCAACCATGCAGGGATCTCCAGTCAATACTGGTAGGACACAGGGCACAGTAGCTTGGGTCCCTTTTGAAATCCCTTAAGTCCGGCTCTCTCTGGCTCTGAACTGGCTTTTGGTGGTTTTCCTGTGGGTTTCAACATGCCCTAGCTGCTGGGCCTCTGCACTGTGGCTTTTCTACTTTCTGCTGTGGGCTTTATTAACCTGCGAGTTTATTCTCCACCACTGGAGCCGTCCTCAGAGGCGCATGTGGTCTGTGCTGGTCACCGTGTGAGGAGCGAGCAGCTGGTAAGTGTTAGGTTGTTGCTGCAGGTGACAGCCTCTTCGTCATAGACCACCCTAAGCTGCGCCTCCCAGATTTGATTCCGGCCAATGGTTCTGAGGGTGCTAAGCATCATAGGAAGGGAAAGCACTGGGAAGGCCTTTGGACCCCTTGAGTTCTAGCCTTCAAGGTCCATTTGTGAGTCGACTCTCCTGCCTCGGGGGGTCTGGATAATGTGTGGACTCTTTAGTTTCTGTTTTATTTCATCTTTCTTTTGTCCCCTGCACACACCCCTCACCCAAGCCTGAAGAGAAAGGTGCATTGGGCAAGCGCCCCAGCCACACTGACCCTGGAAGTGGAGGTCTGCACAGTTAGCATCTGGATGGCACTGTCCGTTGTCCTGTAAGCAGCGGTCCAGCGGTAGCTGTTCGGGCTCACAGTTCACTCCGTCTCCCACATAGTGACTCTTACATTCACACTTGTGCCTGCCCTGAGGAGAGAGGGGGGAACAGATGAAAAAGCCCCAGGATCCCATCTTCGAGAGGACACCCATCCAGTCCAGAAGCAGTTGGCAAAGAGCATTGTGCTAGGCCCTGTGCCAGTAGAATAAAGGTCGTCTTGCTCTGTGCAGGCTCATGACGAAAGGCCACCATCATTCTTGGCATACATGTTGCTTTCTCCGAGAGCCCCTCCCTTCCGAGCACCCTGCAGGAAGCAACTCTTGACCTTATTCCAACACATGGGCCCCATCTCTGCTCATGGCCTTTCCCTAGTGCCACCCCTTTTCTCTACTTGTGCACACTCCTGGAATGCAGGGATGCTGTCTTTTTTTTTTCCATATCCCTGGCACCTGCTATAGGTCATTGTTGTTGCGTTGTGACCACTGGTCCAGAGAGTGACCTCATCTAACCTTACAAATGCTATGACGTCTCTGTTATTAGGCCCACATTCCCCAAGGACACTGAAGCTTAAGACACATCAAGTAGTCAGACTCCAGCCATACATAGTGGATGCTTAGAGCTAAGTCTCAAAGGCTGCTTGACTCCAAACCTCCGTTTGCAACTGGTAATGGGCATCATGTCCCACCAGTTAAAAAATGGGCACTGACTCAGTTCTGAAAAGACATGGGGCATGTCACCATCATGACGTGGGGCATGTCACCATCATGACGTGAGGGCG